CTATCATCCACGACTTGATACTTTTGATTTTTCAAAAGTTGATAATCCTGCAGCAGAAGATATGGCAAATCGGTTGTCAGAGTTACATGCAATAATGAAGACACAATTGAAGGAAGCTCAAGAACGACAAAAGATAAACGCAAATCTATATCGTAAGGAGCAACCACAGATCAACGTCGGTGATAAGGTATGGCTACTTCGTCGCAATATCAAGACTACTCGACCTTGTGACAAGTTGGACTATCGTAGGCTTGGCCCCTTTTCTGTTTCTGAACAGATCAACCCAGTTGCATATCGGTTACATCTACCAGAGTCAATGAAGATCCATCCCGTATTCCACGTATCTCTTCTTGAACCATATAAGACAGTGGATATACAAGGAAGAAGACAAATGCCACCGCCTCCTATAGAAGTAGATAATAATGAAGAATTTGAGGTGGAAGAGATATTAGACTCAAGGTAGCGCCGAAATAAGCTGGAATATCTTGTTCATTGGCGCGGATATGATATTAGTGAACGCACATGGGAGCCATCCAGGAATCTAGCAAATGCATCAACTAAAGTCAAAGTTTTTCATCAACGACATCTATCAAAACCAAGATGAAAATCTCTCTTATAAAAGAGACAAGATTGAGGCAAGACAACATTCAATTTCCTATCCTTGTTTGTAACTTCTTTGCATTTGTGACGCTAATTAGATGGAGAGCCAACAACCAGCAGATTCAACTCAAGAACCTTCGTTTGCTGACCTGCCGGACGAGACATTACGATTGTCACAACCTTCAAGACGACGCAATCGAGATGAAGATCTTCAAGAACGACATGTTCTTCCTCGAACAGATGGTGAGATACAACGCGTTTGGTATCACGATTTGGGAAGGGACTCCCGATGTTTGGTGATTTTGCTAGAGGTAGGAACAACTCCTGATGGTGTTCCGAATATTCTATTCGAAGGAAGTTATGAAGGCCTCAATAATGATCAAATAACTGGGTGGTCTTCCCGCCCTGGTATGGGACACTACCGATGGTTGAGAGGCCCTATCAATCATCTTCGAAGAGAACAGAGATCAGAGTATGTGGCAAATACAATTCGTCGCATCATAGATTTCCTCAACATATGATGACCGCTCCTCGTGGAACTCGTCTCTAAAAGGGGGGGTAATGTCACGGCCATAATCATGTAAGCTAATAATTACATATAGAAATAGGTAGAAGTAAGTAAAAGTAGATAAAAGTAAGTTAATTGTATAATATTTAATATAGAAGCTTCCTAGAAACTTCCTAGACGCTGCTTTGACTTCATAGGTGTCTTTAATTGACTTTTTGGATTAAAAACGTGGTCAACAAGTTGGCCATGTGCCACACATGTTGTTAGCTTGAAGATCAAGCTAACTATGTGGCCCACACGTAGAAAAACTTGCCTTGTAAGTCAAGGCATGTGTCCTACAAAGTCAACACATATTGGAGGTCCTATAGAACGTCGCCACGTAGCCCCTAGTTAGATAGTATATATAGAGACAAGAGTGAAGGCTTCTTCACTCTTGTCAACTCCTTTCTTGCTTCTAGTCCAGGTTCAAGAGTCTTTAGTTTCTTGTCTTGTGGCAATAGCCATTCCAGTTTCCTTTTAATATACCTACTTGTTTATATTTTGACTTATTATATCGAGATAGCCTTTTGGTGTATATTTTTCCTCATCGAGTCTTTGTCTTTGACACCCAATGAGATTCATTTGTCTTTGAGGCTAATAAATGGACCATAAAAAAGAGAAGAAAATGTGGCAATTGTAAAGAAATGGTTATTAGCCATAATACACAAACTTATCTATAAAGATAATAGCTTCACATAAAAAGTACTTTTCCTAGCTACATAAGTAATATAATTACATAATTGATTGTATGTTATAGACTTAAATATTTTTAATAATAATTATATAGATAATATGAATAGGTAGAAGTAGATAAAATTATATAAATTTGATAATATCTTATGAAGAAGCTTTTTAGAAGCTTTATAAATGTGACTTTACCTTTATGTGTGTCTATATGTGATTAGTAGGTTGAAAACTTGGCTAACAAGTTGGCCACTTGTAATACAAGTTGGACATGTGGTATACATATAAAAAACTTGTCTTATAAATTTTACATTTGTCTTACAAGTTGGACATAAGTTGGAGATTCTATAGAATGTTGTCACGTATCTCTTAATTAGATAGTATATTAAGACTCAAAAATGAGGCCTTTCTTACTCTTATCAATTCTTTTCTTGCTTCTAATTTAGTTTTAAGGATTTTTAGTTTCCTAAATTTTGACAATAGCTATTCTAATTTCTATATATATATATATATATATATATATATATATATATATATATAATTCTTCTTTTTTAAATCATATTTCTTTGAAAAACTTGTCACTTGTTTATTTACATTCTTTGAATTTTTTTTCTTGACATTGCATCTCTTTTCTTTATCAAACTTTGAACTCATTTGCATTCGTTAGATGTAAAAACTTACTTGATTTTTTTAAAATTTTTTCAAATAGAAATTTCTTAACCTATATTTTTTAATATAATTATTGATAAAAATGGAATTTGATCTATGTACATATTTTGTTTACATCTTGTAAAATAATTCACTATTTTTAAGCTCTATATAAGTGAATGTCAAGATTTGTATAAGCCTTTAATTCTTTATAACAATCAATATGGTGGCTTTTATTACTTTGTCCTTTATAACCAAACTAATAGCTTTTGATACTTATGTGCTATTTTTTAATACTTAATAATTAATCCACCACAATTACATCTACTTCACATTTTAGATTCACATAACAAAATCTATTAAGTAAGATGTACAAGCTTTAGGTCAAGATACAAAATCAAACAAGGGAATTATGCACCATAGGACATCGCTATATCTATGGTGATACAATAAGTATGATATAGTCAAGGTGGATTTGTAAAACAAACATCCATTTAACTATAGAGAAAGCACATACAAGGTGAAATTGTGAAGCAACAATCTCCATTTAGCTATCAAAGAAGCACATACATACATTGATACAAAAACAACCATATAATGATGATTGATGTTGTCGCATGGCAATTGTCAACTAAAAGCACATTAGTGCCAAAATCTAACATATTCTCTCGCTTGGTACATAGCTTCTTCTCCTTACTCATACTTCTATAGCCTATACTTTGATACACTTTGCTACACAATACTGCTTCCTTGATCCATTTGGAATTCCAAAATAGATCTACCATACTATATCATATTTAGTCTTAATTTGACTTCAATCATTGTTTTTTTATTCAATTGTTTTTTAACATGTGCTTAATATTTTATAAGCTTACTATAAGTTGGTCAAGATGCAATTAGTAATACAAAAATCATGTTAAATGAATATGCTTAAGCATAGTGGTTTACTTAAGGATATTTATTTTAATTTAGAAGACTTTAAATTGGCTTATCAACAATAAATAGGTTCCATGAGGACAAGAATAATGTCAATTATAGAAAAATAGTATTTGTCAAGAAGACAAGAATACAAAGCAAGTCTAAGGATTCAAGTATGCAATCCCATCTCCAATTTTTCATGAAATCATTTCGTGGCTTTTTTCATTACCCTTATCAAACTAGGCTTATTAGATGTGGTGTAGATGTAGTGTAGATGTGGGGAATATGAAGGGAGTAGTAATCAAAACTCTAATGAGATTATTGATGTCATTACATTGTGCAAAAAAACATGGAAGAAGAGATACCAATATATTTGTGTTCATGAAAAATTTCAAAGGCTTCATTGGGTTGATGTGAAATAAAGTTAGCTTTTTATATCTTTAGCTTGATAAAAAGACCTTTTTATTATTATTAATGTATTTTGCATGTTTTATAATGAATTTGTTTGTGGTGGCCTTCTTTGTCCTCCATTTGCTTTTATAGACAAGTAAATTTACACTAGTACACAATTAGAGCACATGAGTTACACTGAATACATAAAGTCAAGAATTCCATTCCAAAACAATATTTTCTTTGCCATATAATAAAATGTTCTTCAAACAGTGCAGAACTGTCACCCATCACATAGCTCTTAATCTCAAGTTCAGATGAGGTTGTCTGTATTTGCATGGCTCTGAGTGTAGGCTTTTTAGGCTCAATATATGTATGTATGTATATATATATATATATATATATAAATAGTATATGAAACCACATGTGACCTTGCATTATTGAAAAAACCAACAGCATGTGTGGCTTCCTGAGGAGCTGCACAGGCATGAGTGATCAAGCAAGTGCACAAGGACCTAAGAACTAAGGTCAGGGAGAAACACAAAAATAGGACAACCACAGGAAGTAAGCACTTAGCATCATTTTGCAAATTATGAGGGGGATCAGAGGTCTCATAGCACCAAAGGGAAGGAGACCAACCCAATCAGAACATTAAGGTGACTAGTCAGGAAACTATCCATTCATCTGTTTTAGGCCACAAAAGTTACTCTCTCTTCAAAGAAGTTTATTATTACTATCTTTTGAATATATCCATCAACAAATGCATATACAAATGGATGTCCCATTCCACAATAATGATTCCAAAAAGCCCATTAAGCTGTTGCCCCCCAGTAACATCATGGTGTAAAACCACATTGAACAGTTGGAACTTTGTTAGTTAAATGACAGCTCCATGAAAAGGCACGAAAATCAAAGCTCAAGCTGCAGATATTTTTCTTTCATTCAGAATAATTGAACATCTCAACGCCTTAATCTACGAATTTTCCTCTTTTTCTACGTCTTCTGCTTCTATCATATTCGTTTTATTCATTATTTCTCAAATCTAACGAAGTGGATCAATGCAACCATGCAGTTGTGAGCAACACGGAAACGACTGCATCCTAATCGTAGATCAAATTAATAAGAAAAAGATTAAAATTTGGGAGAATCCATGAGCTGGGGTCCTTGGCTTTAGCCGCAAAAGAGAATCTTTGCGTGCATCGAACATCGCGCTGTGTTCCGGAATTCCGACTAGAATTCAAGTTTAGAATCTCGAGGATTGTTGAATCTTGTAGGGAGATGATGCTCCGTGGATTTAGTACGTCAATCTTCCTTCCTCTTCACACGATACCTCATTTCGGACCGAATCCAGTTTGCAGTTTCTGAGATCAGAGATCAGAGCAGATCGGCACGGAGGGGAGAGACCAACCATGGCGTATGAGAGGATGGGGAAGCTGGATTTGAGCTTGCTGTTGATGCTTTGCGCTTTGTTCTTCGCAGTTCAGGTGCGTAGTTGCTTCTCTAAGTACCTCTCTTGTTGGATTATGGTGTTGTGACGCGTTGTGAAGACTTGTGAGTGGTTTGGTCAATTTCGGCTGATAGGGTTCGGTGTTCTTAGGAATTGTTGTAAGTTGTTAGAGATGGTTAGGACTTGCTGCTTTTAGTGTGGAGTTTTCCCTATTCGAAGCTATGTCGGTGGATAGTCTGCTTGATTCCGTGTTTGTGAGGTACTGATGCTATTTTGTTCAATGAACCTAATATTTTAGAGTCGACTGTGTTGACGTGATTGTTCCACGGTCCTGTACCACGGGACTATGCGGGTGCACTTATCGTTCTGAATCGGTGGAATCTAGAGCTTCATGCCTTGAAGTAGTGTTTTATGTTTGTGTTTCTTTATTTTTATTTTTCGTAATTACAATTTGGTTTGTAATCAAGATCAAGCTCAACAGTCTATGTCCTGTGGTGGATGGTGAAATTTTGGGTTTTCAAATGTGATGTTTTCTTGGCAATATTCTCTATTTTATTTGTAATATTATGCTATTGAACCGAAAAATGTCTCTTCGCTGCTACTTGTGGCTGGAATTTCAAGGTGGGTATGCTGGCTGGATGTATGAGTGATTCTTCAGGTGATTCTTACGTAATTATAATTATGGTGGTTTGTTTTCTGATTGCAGGCAGGTAGGCTTGAGCCTGAGCTACTTGGAAACAACAGACTCATCCATCAGGTAACTAAGGACATTCCATGATGCTGCTGTAGGGGTTGTGGAATCAGGTTGATTGCAATTTCTTATTCTTACCATGATAGAGTTCGTGTGATTTTCATTTTTTTCTTCGATCTACATGCTTAGAATGTAGTAAATGAATTGCATGAGGATCAGTCTTCTTGCTGGTAGGTGACAATCTACTCTCTTATTCTTCTTTATGTGAGATTCGTTTATGTAACGTGTGTAGCTACTGAATTTTAGCGTCAGTCTTATTTTTTTCAGTTGTACCTATTATTATTATTAGATTTATTATTATTTATCATTTGGTTTGTGCTATCGTGGATGGCCTGATGAGCAGCAAGCGCTTGTGGACAAAGTCAATGCCCATCCAGGAGCGACCTGGACGGCGGGCTTCAATGAGCGATTCGCAAAGCACACAGTACGTTCTGATTTTGTGGATCTATTGTACTCAGAGGTTACCTGAGTTCCTGTAATCATGTGATGTTGGCGGCATGTTGCACCTAGAACATTTAATTGATTATTTGAATTTTGCATGGGAACGGCTTGTTCAATTATGGTACCTTCGTAACATTCAGATTGAGCACTTGAAGAAGATGTGCGGTGCTATCTTGACACCCGCTAACAAGTTGGAGCCTTCTATCGAAACGATCAGTCACAAGCACAAGAAGTTATATCTACCCAAAGAGTTTGATGCCCGTAAACAATGGAGTCATTGTCCAACAATTGGTGACATTCTAGGTATGTTAAGATTTTGTTTCAAGTGCTCAATCTGAATGTTACGAAGGTACCATAATTGTTTCCAAATAAGTTGTTCGGATATCTTGGTTTGTTGCATGCAATTTGTTCGTGGTCAATATTATTGATCTTATCACGTTTAAGTACCTGATTGCAAGTGGCTTACCGAATGTTTGAGCAACAGTGTCCATGAATTTGAGTGTATTCTGAACGTTGTTGTGATGGAATGTGCCTGCTGGCATTTTGCACAAAATTGGGGATTATTGCAGATCAGGTCCGTGACATCTTCCTGTTTATTCATTTTCTATTGTTTAGATGTTTTTGATGCCGTTGCATACCAGTGGAAGCCAAAGTTATATCCCTTTAAAATCATGCTTAAATTTTTCTTTGAATTTTGCAGGGTCACTGCGGATCATGCTGGGCTTTTGGGGCTGTTGAGTCACTGACTGATCGTTTCTGCATTCACTTGAATGAAGTGAGTACCCTTAATTAAGTTAGTGTACTAGGAATTTGAAGTGCGTGTCTGTATGCAATTGTGTGTTTCATTCTTGTATTTAGGTTCTTCTGGACAATTGCTTCGCAGGGCTGCCTTTCATTGGTTTCGAGTTTTCTTTTTTTCTCATGATTTTTATATTTGTTAAATGTTTTGCTTTCAATCTTGGATGTTGCAGAGTGTGTCACTATCAGAGAACGATCTCTTAGCATGCTGTGGATTCGAGTGCGGCTATGGCTGCGAGGGTGGGTACCCTATAAGAGCCTGGAAATACTTCAAGCACTCCGGAGTTGTGACAAACAAGGTGTGCCATCGTTTTCTTTGGTGCAGAAGATATGAAGGACTTCGTTTTTTTATTGGACTCATTTACTGCATTCGGAAATCTTCGTCATATTCTCACCAAAATCAGTGTGTAGTTAACTCTTCGAAAGACGTCATTTTAGCTTGAGATTCATACTAAACTATTTTTTGATACCTGATTCTTGTGCAGTGTGATCCATACTTTGATCAGAAAGGCTGTGCTCACCCAGGCTGCTATCCTACCTATGAGACACCTAAGTGCGAAAAGCAGTGTGTAGACGATGAGTTTTGGGTGCAGTCGAAGCATCTTGGTGTGAATGCGTACGAGATGTCCATGGAACCTGAGGACCTCATGGCTGAGCTCTATACCAATGGTCCTGTTGAGGTGGCCTTTGAGGTTTACGAGGTAGCCATCTTTCTAAATTTGAGTTCGCGTTTGAGTTGTGTTAAGAAGGAAATTCCTGATCATTTATTCCCAACGTCGAAAACAATGAAGAAGTGTTTTTGGTTTTTCTAACTTTTTCCTTATAACTGTAGTTCAAGGCTTGTGATACGTCTTTACAAAAGTAATCGTCTGAAATGGTGGCTGTGCAGGACTTCGCTCATTACAAAACTGGAGTTTACAAACATCTTTTCGGTGGCTTCATGGGAGGGCACGCTGTGAAGCTTATTGGATGGGGAACCACCGACGATGGTGTGGACTACTGGGTACGTGGAATTTATTTGTTATTTTACACAAGTGTTGAGCTGATGCGCTATTGGCGATTATCATTGAATAATTTCTGGATTAGATTGACTGGGATCGTTGTTTGACTGATATTTTGTCCATGCAGACCATAGTGAACTCCTGGAACACGAACTGGGGAGAGGTACACCACTCTGAACTCGAACCAAATTTCAAGTTCATTCCTTCTTCTCAGTAGAGAAATGATGCAAAGTGATGCTTTACTCAGTCCTCATTAAATTTGCAATTCGATTCCATAATCTCTTAAGAGACCGAGCACACCTTAGACTGTCTGAGATTCAACCGTCCCTGTTCACAATCCGTGTTTCTGTTGATGTGCTGAGCCAATTATGCATGTTGTTTCTGCTCCAGGATGGTCTCTTCCGTATTGTGAGAGGCAACGATGAGTGTGGCATTGAGAGCAATGCAGTAGCTGGTCTCCCATCCAGAAAAGGTCTTCATTCTGCCATGTGAGAGATACTGAGGACATCTTAAAAGTAAAACGAAGGTTCCATCAAAGACCACTGTTACTTTGGACTCTGTACAAGGTGATAATCCCATATTGTCATCATTATAAGCATGGTCTTGCAACTTAGAATGCATGAGGATAAATGGTCCCTTGTACATAATTTCAATTACTAGTCACTATGCCCAAACGCCCATAGAACACTAGAGACTGCTCAGAACTTGTATATTTTTATTCAAGTGATTGAGTAAGGTAACCTCAGATGCCATCTCCTGCTTAGCACGCTGGCAGAAGGCATTGATCCAGTTGTAGACATCAGGCTGTGATTTGTAGTTAACTAAAGCGTTACATGCTCTGAATGTACAAGTTCACTTTTGTGCATACAAGCCACACAACTTAACCAAATACACCCAATGTTGGGTATTCAACTATGATTTGCATTTGTTCTCTGGTTGGCCTCAATGGTTCTCTACAATATTTGATTGTGTACAATTATGGGCATGATACTTTTAATTTTTTTCGGTTTAATAGAATTTTTGAACTTTTACTGAATACCACACATTTTGTCAAATGTAACACAAAAATGAAGTCACAATTGCTTCCATACTACTCATTTAAATCCAATGTATGAAGTTTATCAAAATTGAATTCAATCTCAATGTTAACATTCTAAATATTGATTAGAGAATTGCTCTAATTTTTATATCTATGGTAAAGTATCTTATAAACTGCAAAAAATTAATGTGAAATGTTATTGAGTGTTGTGACATTAGACTTCTCAAATTTATCCATAATGGTATGATTTTGATAATTAAAGATAGTTTAATAATTATTCTAGTTACAATGTGGATAAAAGGTTGAACAATATTGATGCTACAATTTATTGTAATAATTATTACATGTAATAAAACCTTGTATATGCTACTCATAAAAAAAATTGTATTCTGATTAGTACATTTAGGATTCTAACTTATTGATAACACAAGTTGACTTATTTTAAAATTATAATTTTTTATTCATATTTAAATCACTAAGAATGTGTTTTCTTGTTATATAACTTATTTGTACATTTGATATTGTAATTTCATAAATTTCTACAAATTATTTATGTCAATCTTATGAATAATAACAACAAAAGAACATATCCACTTATCACTAATATTTATTGCCCATAAGGACTCAAAAGACTTTTGTATAAGTATTTATACCTCACCAATTTATAAGTATAGAAAACCAAATTATTTTAAAACTTCAATACAAGTTAAAATATTTTATATTTTTTTGGTAACTTTTATAATAATTTGTTACTGTAAAAAAAAATAGACGTAGAAATAAAAACTACTATTGTTTTTGGTAAAAAAAATATTATAAAACTTACCAATAGGTGTAAAATAAATTGACAATAGAAGCAAGCTTGTCAAGTAATAGTAATTCACATCTTTACTTCTTCTTAAAAGTAAAGATGTATCAAATTGTATTTTTCTTAGAATATGATTTATAATTTTGGTGTCTTTTAAATCTTGGCTATTTATTCAAATTCAATAAGTAAAATATCATATTAATATCTATATAATATTAAAAGGCAAAGAAATTGCATGATGTAGTAATATTCATTATACAAATGGATGTAAAAATAATATATGTTGACATTTTAACTACTCAATAAAGTGATATTTAATGTAAAAAAGATAAATATATTATATAGTAATTATATATATATATATATATATATATATATATATATATAAATTTAAAAACTACATATAGATTAGATATTTTATAAATATCTTTATTAATAACATTATTTTATTTTTAAATATTAACTTGTTTAAATTCAACAAGATGCTAAATTAAGTTATATATTTTGTTATTAATATAAATATTAAAAAATATACTATGATTATCGATATATAATAAAAATAAATTAATATTATAGAAATTTAATATAATATATATATAAAGATGTAATGAATTATTAAAGCCACATCTTTTATTGCCATCTCATGATTGTTTCCATTCATCTCTCATCTTTGCCCCTTGTTCTCCAATCACACATCCATATTTTTCTTATTTTGTTCTATATCCTCCATCCTTATTCTCATCTTGTCAAGGACAAGAACTTGATGAAAAAGCAATTCAAACAAGTGAACCTTCACTCAAACAAAGGTAATAAAATATAAATAAACAAGTATGTATATTGAAAGAGAAACTGGAATGGCTATTGCCAAAAGACAAGAAAACTAGAGACCCTTGAAACTAGATTGGAAGCAAGAAAGGAGTTGACAAGAGTGAAGAAGGCTTCACTCTTGTCTTTATATATACTATCTAACTAAGGGCTACATGGCGACGTTCTATAGGACCTCCAATATGTGTTGACTTTATAAGACATATGCCTTGACTTACAAGGCAAGTTTTTCTACCTGTGGTCCACATAGTTAGCTTGATCTTCAAGCAAATAACATGTGTAGCACATGGCTAACTTGTTGACTACGTTTCTAATCCAAAAAGTCAATTAAAGACACCTATGAAGTCAAAGCAATGTCTATGAAGCTTCTAAGAAGCTTTGATATTAAATACTATAGAATTAACTCACTTTTACCTACTTTTACTTACTTCCACCTATTTGTATATGTAATTTCTAGCTTACTTGAGTATGTCCGTGACATTATCCCCTCTTCTAGGACGAGT